TAGTGAGAAAATTTCCGATGATTACTGCCAGAGTTATGTTATGGGCGTGGATCACATTGAAAAATCTTGTGGATGTTTTAGAGACCATAGTTATCATCTGTTTGATTTTTTTATTTTTATTTATTATATATATATAATTGTTTTGATTGACTTTAGATTGATAGAGTTTAATGTCTTGAGACGATAAAGTATATTGTTTTTCAATGATTTTTGATAACTTGAACATCTATATCCATGATATTAAATGTTTTGTATACTAAACTTTAGCATGGGCCAAACAAATTCTAATGATTTTCTGATAATTACAAAATGAGTTGTTACTCTTACTTAGATTTTAGTGTCTTATAAATGTTTCATTACCGACAAAAGTAAAAATGTGCGACAACTCTTGTTGACTGCGCGGACGATTTAGCTGCTGTGGACGTATGTTGGCCGGTAACCTATCATTTTCTTTAAGATTTGTTGGGGAAAAAAGCAGGACAACAAAACATATTAATGTTGAAACTAATGATTGGGTTGTAGGTCATTATGAAATAAATTCAACAGCATATTAATCTTTTATAAAAAGCAGGGGACTATTAGCATGGGTCTGTCCGTCACACTGGCTCTCCTTCTAATTGATGTAGAATGTTCAAATTCGGTGTAGGTGTTTATTAGGTAAATGACTTGATGAAGATGGAAGATGAGCATTTTCTGTTTAGAGTAAACTGAGATAGGCAATTTGATTGGTTGTTGCTTTGGGACACGATTACTTTAATTCAAATTAAATTAGAATGATGAAAATTGGTGTATTTGAGCATTTTACAAAGAACGTAAAGGGGGGGCCCAGTCTTTTAATTTGTGTTTACTTAATGCACAATCTTCCAAACACAAAATCGGCGAATTTCGAGAATACATATATGATAATGATCTTGACATTTTTGTTTTAGCTGAAACGTGGTTAAAGTCAACAGATAACTTTGCAGTAAACCAACTCATCCCTGAAAATTACGATTTTTCATTTGCTAACAGAGGAGAATGGGGGTGGTATCGCCTGTGCCAAAGTGCTCCATTTCCAATTTATAAAATACGAACTATTATTTAGATGCAGTGAACTTATTGATCCCAACTGGTTTTGATAATATATGATATCGGCTTTTCAACTATACACTTTGGTCTAAACACGTACGCACTAATTAATATCAGTCAGCGAAATTAAGATAACTTGTAAATGCCATATACAACTGTAGTAATGATCTCGTATGTGTAGACCCAGTTGAAAGGTATATAACAACCAGTTTGCTGACAGAGAACAGAGACGTGGACAGAGAGACGGGGGGGGGGAGAGATGAGCATAGACCGGCGAACAGGCTCATCCGAGTTCAGCCGCTGCCGCGGTTTTTATATTTGGTTCCTGATATAAATAAATGATACTAAACTGATCTCTGTTATCACTAAGATAGTGTTACACGACTTTGTCTACAGAAAGTCTATGACGTCATCTATACTCAATATATCCAAATATAACGCTTTGAGATCCTGCAGCTGAGATTTCAGTGCAAAAGTGGAATTATCCATCTTGTGGTAGTTTATCGATCTCCAGCATATAAAAAAAACATATCTAACTTGGAAAATTTCTCGAAGAATTTTCTGATCGTTCTGTCTATTTTTTGTCTAGTTGTTTTGTAAAAAATACTGCATGAATGATATTTGAAATGTACAAAAAACAAATACGCACATTTTCCGGAAGTGCAAAAGGACATCAAATTTTGTCATTTTTAGAGCACTAAATCGAATGTTTTTCTGTTAGTTTTAAAAATAATGCAATTTTGATAATGACCCGTATCCCTGCGCAAGTATATGGGTTATTGACAAAACGGAATTCAATCAAAATGGGTCGTAAGCTTTGGTCAAAACGGCCACAAAATTATAGGTCGTTCCATTCCCCAACTGTAAAGGGTTCTTTTACGTCCACGCCACGTCCCAGGGAACCTTAGTTAGTAAACCCCGCCTTTCTCACCAAGGAAATATTAGTATAGACGAGCACCCCAAATCACAATAAAATAGACAACAGAAAGTCAATCTTGGTAATAGCAGCTATGTTTGTGCTTCGCTTTAACATTCTCTAAAATGATTGACAAATATTAAAAAAAAAAAAAAAAAAACCCCAAAAAAACACAGGAAACTGTCCATTGATATTGTTTACCAGCTGCTTCTAATAAGACCAAGTGGAGAAATTATTTACAATTTACACAATGAATATTCAATACATACAGCTGTCTCTTAAATAAATAAAACTATTAACTGGAGAAGTACTTACGTTTATCTGAATATTCGATGAACGTTTTGTGAAATATAATTTATATGCACCCGGTAAAAAGTTTGGAACCAACAAGATTACTAACCGTGGTTCCATTTAAATCTGATACGCCAGGAAGCGAGACAAACGAGATACCGAGTTAAGCCGCGAAAACGATACTAACAAATAAGCCATCGAGACACCATTTCTGTAGGACACAGGTAAGGGGAGTTGGATTCGGGCATACTGACAAAATTTATAATCTATAAACCAGAGTGCATCTGAATAATATTTGATATATTCTACAGCAATAGTTTGTTATCAATTACACACTCCTTAAATGAGAAGTGGTATTAGGTGTTCTAGAATTTGTTAGAATGTATGCCGTGCACGGAACATGTGATTTCACATGGCAATTAGCACACTGCGAGGAGTATAACCGTCATCATTAGCCCGGCTGGTATATTTCAGTTCTCGTTTTTGTCCGAAAATTAATTTAATTCGGAGGTAAAACTAATTATAATATGTTGATTACAGACATGAATCTTTAAAATGGAAATTTTATTAATTACCTGAAATCAATAACAAAAATGACACCAGGACATATGTACAGTGGGCTGTCGACTTTTGAATCAATTTTGTTTATTGTAAAACTGATTTACCGTAGCCGAGGCGTTTGGCCACTTGACTCAATCAAATCGAAATCCAAACAGTCTCTCAAATCCAACCGTAAATAGAAAAGAGTCAAGTTTAAAATGTGAATAGTGTAATTTTATACAGTCTTTTGTGTGAATGTAAGTATTAACAGGACAGTTTCACACACACGGAAATTTGTGAGGGTGGGGATTAAAACAAAGATTATTATTTTGGCACCAGCCACAGAAGAAATTAATCGTGTAGAGTGACATGTTATCTTTTTGACGCAAACAATCGAGAACCAAAAATTATAAATTAACAGCGAGGGATGAAGAACCAAAATTTTCAGGTAAATTATAAGTCTTACGGAGCGAAGCGAGGCCTAAAATTTTGTTTCCGGTACACCACTTGCTCTTAATGTATATATAAAGTAAATGTAGAGTTGAGCGCTAAGCCAAAGACATTAAAATTGTTTTTATGTTATATACTCGTAAAACACAGTGTGTGCAGCACGGAGAGAGGCTAAATATTTCTTGCAAATTTCTGTCGTCGCCATGTATATAAGAACAGATTAGGGTATTTTAATTTTGTTTATCCTGTTTTAGTTTCGCCAACATGTTTCTTGATAGGAGCAGTTATTTTGGTACACACATCCTTTTGGTTGGGGGGTTGTGGGGTCTAGTGGTTTAACTCATGCGCATCAAACCATAAGGTCTGCCACTGAGTCAAGTTGCGTGGTTTTGATTCACCGCTTGTACTTCACAAGGAATAGGGTTGACTGTCCAACCTCGTGGGGTTTCTCCGGGTCCTGTGGTATCCTCCCACTGCTGAAGACCTCTACGCGGAATGACCTAATTTGGGTTGATTGTACATTAAACATGTAGAAATAAGCGAGGCTTTCCGATTTTTCCCGAATATGAATAGTTCTCCCCAGTTTAAAATTAGACAAAAAATGACATGGTGGTGTTGGCCCCAGATATTATCTTTCATTTTCATAGACCTTGTTCCATAACATTTTCAACCGCTTGGATGTCATATTGGATTATACAAAAACATTCAAATCGATATTCAGCCGCCATTAATTTGAATTCCGATTTTCGAAAATAAAAAATGTATTGAACCTACTCCAAATGGCAACTATATCCTTAGGGAACCGATTTTTTAATTTAGATTTTGTTTACTTCCGGTTTCATTTTGAAGTTTGTTCGACTTTTCACCATCTAGATGGTGGCCTAATCTTTCCATGAGCCTTGTATGCATTATGACCCTGGTGTCTACTAAGAATATAAAAAAGTTCGACCATGCAGTATAACTTTGGTTTTATTAGGTATTGGATGTTACTATACTCAATAATTTATGATTTAACTTGAATGTTGGTGTGACAAGGCGTGACGTGACATACCGAACACGTCAGTACTCCTTAGGAGTTCTAGTTTATTCTTCTTTTTTTTTGCAATACAGAGTATATCATATCTCTGTTGTAGATAAGTGAAGTGATGATATCCAGTATAAAAAGATATGTGTATGCCGTATTTTTTGTGTCGGGTCTTTACGTGTTATGTTACCTGAATATAAACAATAGGTAAGTGTTATAGTTATTCCTCCTTTTATTGATATTCACGGATTATCTAATTTAAAATAATTGATGACAAGATGGTTAATTTCACCTTTTATTTTGCAACCTTGATTGTAACCCATATCTAAACATGTTCTCGATATTTATGGAATGTACATATTGTTCTAGATGGTTCGACAATTCTTTCGTCGGTCACACCGAAAAATCTAGTGCTCATACCAATATGCCCTTATATGACTAAATATATTCTCGATATTTCAGGGATGTACTGAACATATTAAATAATGTTCAAGTTATATCGTCCATATGGCCGGAAACTCCAGTATCCATTCCATTACAGCATTTTATATACAAAGCTGAAATAGATCAGTCTATAAGCTTAACAAAGGGCTGTACCGGTTGCCCAATTATATGTCCAAATTCACTCAAAAACAAATCAGCGTGCCTTGGAGACGACTGTCTTTGTTTTAAATCAAACCCTGTTTTGAACTTTCAAACGGTTTCTAACAATACAATGATATCTAAAGAAGAATTGCTCCCTTTTGAAATGATAACATTGAAAGACAAGTCTGTTAAAGATGCGCTTCGACTCCCTAATGAGGAAAGGTCGGATGCGAAGGTGATAATACCCAGTGAAGGTGTTTATGAAGTTGGTGAGGATATACTGGTAAAACTTGACCTTTATAATGGATATGGTGACAAGGTTAAACGTGGTGGGGATGATGTTCGAGTAAGGATGGTTGAAATAAATAAACAGCTGACAATAGCTGGCCGTGTAAAGGATTATAATAATGGTACTTATATTATAACTATTCCTACTTTATGGAATGGAACAAACAATGTTATTATATACATGCCATATTTTCGAGAAGAGCTCGTTACATTTCTAACATGGACACGACAGTTCAATGCACTGTTTTACTATAAAGCGAAGTTTACAAAGGGCAGTGAAGTTCAGTTTACATTGTGTTCATCTCGTCCAAATATACCTGGATATGATGTCATATGTAATATGACGTATGAAAATGGTGATGATGAGTGGTACTGTGGGGCACCTCCGTCAAGAAATCTATCATGTCTGGATGTGGTATCTATTATGGATTATCATTTTATAGATGTTGCTATAGCTAATGGTCAACAGTATTTACATAGAAGGTATGTATGTAGTTTACGAATGAATGAATTAGTTTATTAAAGCCAACGGACGTCATTTGCATTTATCAGATAATATCTAACTTGTTCCACGACAGGATGTACCCAAATTGAAATGCTTAATATTTTATAAAGAAACAAAATCAAGATATGAACGGTAGACATAGATTCATTACAGTCAAAAGGGGGCCAATCAATTTGTAGCTAAGACTTACACACTGAGTCATCCTGGCTCTCGGTATGTTAAAACCGACAGTAATATTCGTATAAATGATAAACAAATTACAATAAAAGAGATTACAAAAAGTCAGTTTTATTAATATCAGAGATTGATGATAAGTCACGGAATCACCTTAATATTCTCTAAAATGATTGACGAATATCAAAAAAGGGGTTCTTTAAAACGTCAAAAATTCAACGGGAAACCGTCCAGATGCCATTAATTAAATGTACATTACGTAAAGCAATTAAAAATTCGTTGCGAATTACATTCATAATGTTCGATAAAGTAAAATAGTCTTAAAACAGATGTTGCTCAAATCACCGATAAAATATACGCAAACTGAATATTAACATGTAATGAAGAAAAATATCCCGACTTGAATTCAAGTTCCACTTTATCTGAAAATTTATGAGTAATTGTATCTCTAAGTAAAATAAACCAGCGGCTGTCAGTCAAGATACGCGCACATTTTCCAAAAGGATGGATAGAGAACAATAAGGGGCCATAATCCAAGAAGTAATGGTCTGAAATGCGCGAATGTCGAAAGGAAATGAGATATTTGCGATTAAATCGGATGAAAATTGTGACTTCTAGAGGGTCCACAACCTTGGTATTACATACTTTTACACTATTCGCGTACAAGGGGCGGCCATTTTATCCTGCAGTTTGGATCACATTTTTACGAAATTCGAACTCAACCTTCATTGATGTGTAACTGTGATATATTTGAAAGTTTTTTAAAAATTGAATAAAAAATTGTGATTTCTAGGGGGTAAACAAGCTAAAATTGCAATTTTATGAACACTTAAACCACAGCCATGATGTCATCCTTTGTTCTTTTAATCCATTATAACGAGGGATGGATTGTTGTCTAAACAAACAGTCCATTATTAATGAAAACAATCCATTAGTAATGGAAATAGTCCATTAATTTTAGACATTGTCCATTATTAGTGAAAAATACATTAATAATAAAGTGTAGTCATTATATATTAAGCAACTGAAAATAAATCAAAACAACCTGTCCATTTATTACTAATTTCCCTTTCAACATTTACAAAATTTTAATTAAATTGAAATTTCCGAAGAATATATGTTAATTTCCCTGGAATCACTGGACACTTTTGAATTATTTTGTTTTGGACTTGACAATTGACACAATTTTGGACACTTTTCAGCTACACAAATGTTACGTAAGTCCGATAGTTGATTGTCGCGAGTCCGTTTATATGCATTTGAACGATGTTAACAAATCACTCAGTGGCAGTCACATGACTGCGGTGTTGGTTTAAGTAACTGTCCATTATTTCTGAGGTGTTACAAGACACTATTGTTTTAAGATGTCTATTATTTTAGACAAAGAGTGGCTATGGTTTAAGTTAGATAATAGCCTCAGACTGTAGGAACACAGATTCATTTTAATTGTTGACAAAAATAGCCTACGTCAATAAAAAGAAATGAAATGAAATACTGTTCTGCTCCAACTGGGCTCCATCAGTATGCTATGAGGGGAATTTTGCCCTGCAGTGGCGCAAAAGCACTCTTATATCGAATTCCAACTGCAAAGGGTTCTTTTACTGGAGAAGTGCATTAAAGGTTGAATGGGCGGGGCTGACCAATTTTCATATTTGGGCCACTCAGAAGTAGGTTAATCCCCAAAATCATCATAAGGATTCATATTCTGACACAGGTGTATTCGAAATGTGTTACAAAAAAACAAAAAAAACAATTTTGGCTGTAATGCGAAAAGCGCCCCCTGGTAGTGTTCCTAAAAGCTACACTTAAAAAGTTACGTTTTGTGGGTCCCGTTCATGTGGACAGACAGGAAGTCAATACCACAGAGTTCAAAAAATGAAAACTGGTCTACCCGATTTTTTATGTTTTAGCTGAAAGTCTGTTGGGATGTATTTTTCCTGATGAGCATGGCTAATGGTACTACTCCGGTAGTCAAACACCAGGTTAAGCCGTGCGATGGAAATAAAGCAGGGCCCGTAAGAGAGGGGTGGGGGCAACTGGGACACTTGTCCAGGTGCCCGGAGTCTGGAGGGTCCCGGAGGTATGCCGCGTAATAGTGGTAATGTTTTAAAAAAACATTTGTTGGTATAAAGTAATTAACAAATACACTGTTACTTGATCGTAAAGCAGAAGAAAACAGGTAACTTTGCTGAATGTGGGTATCTAGTTCCATTGGTAAGATTAGAATCGGATTCTGTCAGTTCACCTTCTTTGGAAAAATTGGTACATTTAAAACTATAAGTCACCTGCCCAGGCCTTGGTGCCGTGGAGCCCTGACCCGTTCTCGTTCCGTTTGATGCTATCGTCAACGCCAGGGTATCTAATCCAGCATCTGACTATGGTTCTGTAGGAAAGTTTGAGTAGGGAGAATTTTTTTGAAGAAATGTTTAGTGGGTGCCGAAGTAAGTATTTTGAACTTGGGTGGACACTCACCACGTGGTAGGTTATTCCACAATGACGTCATCAAATATGGCCGCCGATATTATATCAATTTTATCCTACCCGCTCTAGTTGTCCGTCAATTTCTATGAAATACAGGCCAGAATGAAGCTGTTTATTTGAACTGATTTGAAGAACATATTTTTGGTAATTTTTTTTATTAATTTTCAAGAAAACACATACGACATTTTTAAGCGAAAACGTGGAAAAAGTTTTAAAAAAAACATAAGAAAATTAGCACATTTACAATGCTACAACAATAAGAATAATGTAATAACACTCAAAAAAGAAGTTATTTATAAAGAACTATCTGTGCATACTAATTAATGATGTCAAACATAGTTACCGCAAGATGTGATGTCACGTTACATAGTTACCACAGGATGTAGTATCTTCTGACTGTGAAGAAATACACCGAGCGGAATCTGTCACACGAATTCAAAATGAAATTAGCAAACATATACCTAGCGTGAATAAAACCTATATATATATATATTTATATGTATCACGATAATAATTGTTACCTTTATAATAGAAGCATTTTAAGACATGTTATTACCGTAAACATACTAAAATATTGCAAACTGGGCCCGCAGTAAAGGGTACGTTCACTTTGCATCAAACAGTATTCAAACCAGCTTGGATGGCAAAATGTTTTTTATTTCTCAGAATCAAGGGATGAATATACTACTAGACTGCAAAATTTCATAAGCCGCCTATGTTGCATTGTATTCAAGACGCCTATTTCACACAAAATATTATTTTATATCCATGTGGACCTTCCATATTAACATCTATCTGCATAATAAGTTTATGAAAATATGCATTTAAACAACATTTAGATATTATCTACCACCTGTAGCACTTTCCCTTCGAACTAACAATAAATTGTTTATTGGAATTTTCTATTGAACTGAAAGGTGCTTGTCGCTGTAAAATACTCGATCAAGTGTTAATTTATATAATAATTTAAAGCATAAACTATCTAACACCATATCTTTCTGAATGAAATGACAATAAAACGGAAACATACTTTTCTTTCGTTATTGTAGCTGTAAAATAATATACGAATTATTATTTTATATAGCGTATTTCTACTGATGATTAAAGTAATCAGGTACCGCAGAAATTTGCAACACGTTTTAACATCCCATCTTTCCCCTACCTTTTAAGGGATGGGTTGAACAAGAGTATAGTAGTTTCAGGGCTCTCAAAACTAGTTTAGGTTCTTGCGTAATTTGGTGTCCCCGTTTAATCATGAATTTATGTCGTTTTTGATGAATTGCTAAGGTTGCCGCAAGTTAGATGTGCAGAAGCTAGAAACACCAAGATATACTCTATAAAGCACAATTTACATTAAAAACGAAACTGAGAGCGAAACTTTTACTTTCGTCTTCGTTTTATTAGGTGCTAAAAATATGGAAGTTTTTCGATATTTTTGGCAATTGCGGACCTTTTTCCAACCAATGTGCTTTAGCAAAGTGACCTCCAGTTACCCCAGATATACGCCAAGTGACCCTAGAGACTATGTATCTTTCAAAACGTTTCGTCGAGTTGCTTGTCCCAGGGCCTGGATGTCGCTGTCGCGGGCCATGAAATAAAGTCCAACTAATGTGTTTTGATGGATTATATATCTTTAATGTGTGCCGATTCAGAATCCGGATGATGCCAATACAAATAAGTATTCCAATATGACGACTTTATTCAAAATATGGCCACATTATTTTGACGAGAAATTTCGATGTTAGCAATGATGTGGCATAATACGTCAAATAGTAGCTATTCGTGGTAGGCAAATTAACATCTGAACCCCAAAATGTGCCATGACCGAACAAAGCACCAATATGGTACTCAAATTTGACAAAATATCTATGTTCAGTAGACCATGGAAGAAAATATTACATTTAGCAGTTCAGATATTAATTCGGCGACCTCGAAAACCACCAGTTTAACGTATTACACCATCACATTACTACAATTAACATTGAAATGTCCCCCCGTCTTCATTATCTCAGTTGGGGCTGAACTGTAGGATGTTAAACCCCATTTCATTTCGAAAAGTCCCGCCAATCGTGACCGCCAATGCGAATATAGTGGTCATATTGGAATACGTTTGGGTGGAACATATTTTATGTTAATACCTGAATTAGGAGACCACGAAAAACTATACAGGGGACTTTATGATTTTCTTTCTAAAATGGGTCCCATTTTGAATTTGGCTTCCTAGCGGAATTAGCCGTCACTTTTGGGGGCGGGGGGATGCCCAAGCTCTTTGGATTCAGCGAGTCGTATTCTTATAAAAATCAACTTTCAAACCGACGTCTGAGATAAATAACCAGAAAATGTATGGGTACAGATATTAGAACTTCTTCAAAATGGGGCCTAACATAACTAGTATAAAGACGATATAATCAATTTTAAGGATGAAGCCGAATGAGAGCGACGATGTAGTGGCCAAATAGATAAAAAAAAAAGCGACATTAAGGAGCCCAGCGACTCAATGTTTGACACCCATTTTGTGCTTGTACTGTACGTGGAAGTGCACTGAATGTTGTATGGATAGGGTCGACCGATTTTCACCTTTTTGGACTCTCTGGTATTCTGTTCCTATCTGTCCACATATGCTTTTGTGGACACCACCAGGGGGTGCTGTTCACATACCGCGAAAGTTGGTTTTGTAACACATCTCGGGTACATCTACGAAACTGGTGTCAAAATATAAATCTTTCTGATGATTTTTGGGGCAAATGTCAAAATTGATCAGCCCCACCCATTCACCTTTTGATGCACTACTTTTCAAATAAAAGACCTCTTGGCGGATGAAATTCGATATATGAGTAGGCTGTTGCACCATTGCAGGGCACATTTTCCCTCATAGCACACTAAGGGAGCCAAATCGGAGCAGAACAATAGGATGTATAACCTCATTTTATTCCATTTCTGCAACAATTGAAATGAATCCGTCTTCCTGCAGCTACTCTGATAGTATCACCTATTGGCAATGCAGCAGTAGTTATACTTAAGCCCACCCTCCTAAGTAATTGTAACACGTTGTTCTTCTTTATCAAACGTTAGTTTGACCAGCCTATGACCTCTAGAGGGACCAAATGCTAAAACGCGATTTGTCGTACAATCAGGGGCCATAATTCAGGAAGTTACAATCCGATATGCGCAAATATCGAAAGAGACCAAGGTCTTTGGGGTATAAACATGCATTTCATGTGTCATAAAAATCAGATTAAAATTGCGACGTCTATAGTGTCCACAAGGTAAAAACATGATTTTTCGTACAATCAGAGGGGGGGGGGGGGTAATTCACGAAGATTTGATCTGATACATGATAATATCGAAAGGAACCGAGATCTTTTTGATATTTAGCTATATTGTAGGTTTCGTCAAAATCGGATAAGAATTGCGACCTGTAGACTGTCTGTGGACAATCTGTGGACAGACGGCCGGACAGGGGCGATGACAATATACGTCCACAAGAAAACGTGGGTGTATAAAAATTGACCAAATAATTAAAGACACAGCTACCTATGCTAATTTCAGTCATGACTACTAGACTTTATTGCAAACTGTTGTCAATTGTCTGGTATGGTCTACATTTATTGAACCGCATATCTCTTTTATGTAATATCCTTACATCACTTATATTTACTTCGCCGATCCTCGCATTATTGAACAAAAACCTTACTCAATGAACCAATGTGGTTTCCTATATACGCACATCGCATTAGTGAAAACCTAAACACATCGTGCCATACTTACAAGGCACTCAGGAACACGAAGGCTGATTATGCCTGGAATTCAAAGAGCAACCAAGGTTATAAATACAAAGACAACACATTACGTCACTAGGTCAAGATGGTAAAGAGGCCATTTGTATTTAAAAAGAGAAGCATACTAACACTCCCTTCCACTCAATTCAAAGGCTCGGCTGAAGATAATGTTTTATATATTTGGAAATTAAAATTAATTTCAAGGTTGTTATCTATAACACGATTTTCAGTTGTCAGATATCTACATTACAAAGAATACAATATTATAATTTCAGGGGCGATACCTTCAGATTATTCAAAGTGTTAAAAGTTGAAGTAAAAGGTGAGTTATTATTATTTTATGTGTTTGAAATTGGGTTATTCCACCCTCCTTGAACTCATTAATCAACAATAAAACATATATTTACTGCAACCTGGTTGAAGCGCAACAACTCAAGGATGTTGATTTGTAGTCCTTCGTTAAAGTAAAACATACTTTACAAGCAATGTTTATGCAAGATATGACAATATTTTGAAATAGATGTATGGACAGAGAACTGTGAAACAGTGCTTGTCCTCTCATTATTGAAATGCTTCACATCCAAAGAGAAACGATATGTAAAAACTGTTGCTTCTATTTTGTTCATAATGTTTTTGCAAAAGGGAGGTAAAATTAATCATATTTATTGTATTGGTACTTCAAGAAAATCAGTGATTAAACAGCTAGATTAACATGGGGTCCTATGCTCGTGGGGCCACCAGACAACAACCTAGTTTGGCTCTGCATTAAAAACAGGCCCGACTGTGGCTACGACATTTTATTAGATTAGCACCCATATTGGGCAGGAATGCAGGAGCTATATGGAGATATTTGTTCCTGTTTGATGAAGAATACATGAAAGGAGTTAGAATTTACATTACCTGCCAGGCTTTAGTAAAACTCGTATATACTTTTTGGGTATCATATGTTGATCTCTTTGTGGTCAAGTGTTCAACCTAATAAAAAGTAGGGGTGTTGGATGGCCGAATGATTAGCACGTGCGAGCTATATCATAAGGTCTGTCATTGAGTCAACTGGTGTGGTTTTGATTCCCCGGTTGTACGTGACAAGGAGTATGGTTGACTGTCCAACCTCGTTGGTTTCTCCGGGTCCCCCGGTTTTCTCCCACTGCTAAACACCCCTATTAGCAAGTGAATTTTTGAAATAAAATTGAACCATGTATTAGTCCCGAAATGACCTAGTTTGTTTCGAATGGACGTTACCCCCCCCCCCCCTCTCTAATAAAAAGTTTGGGAAACGTTAGTGTCTCTCAAAGAGACCAAATTTATAGGAAGATAGGGGGCGGTCGGGCAAGCTCAATTGCAATCACAATGTTCGGTAAAAAATTTGTAAAATGTGTTCAGTACGATTCATTTATCGGGTTAGTAGACCGGAGGTATTTTTTAGAAGTTAATCACACCTGTGACTATTGACGCTGCCCGATTTATTCCGGCGCACTAAGGACCGTCACGAAATAAATCGCTAATAAAATCGACCTCGGCTCCAATTATGTTTTTTTTTTACATTTGTCCGATGAATGAATGTAGCTGCAAGAGGTGACCACAGAGTGGGGTTTCAGTTGGACCACTTTTTAGTTTCAGAACTTACAGGCCGAAACAGCAGTTCTAATTTTCAAAATTTATATTTCGAAAAAAACAAACAAACAGAAAAACAACCAACCAAACACTCACTCGTCTCCAAAGCCTATGATGGGAAAGGTTGTGTGTACTATGTCCATTTTCAATGACTTTACTAGAGTTATGCCCTTCAGAAGTTATCAACCGATTTCTATTTGATATTTCCATGTGTCGTCGTCACTCGCTGTTTTTTTCCGGGGAGTTTGTCATAAAATTTCGAAAGTACGGTAGATATTTTCAAAATTTTATCTTCTTGCAACAAGTAAATAGTTTGTGATCCAAACAGATATTTGAAGGTGTAAGTAATTATGACAGAAACTTCAAAATTGTGCTAAACTCGTTTCATGTTTGTTTTGTAGGAGAAGAGGACAACCGAAGACATCTACTACCTATTTGCAAAAGATTATCCAAATCAAAAACTTGGGATACCTCATCACCAACAGGTTATGCTTCAAAGGGAAAATATTTCCCTACGTTTTGTCAAATTAACAAAACCGATGAGGATATTAAAACATGTTTGATAAATACAACTGTAATATTTACTGGAGATTCTACAACAAGGCATTGGTTTATTAGGTTAAAGAAATTTATAGAATGTACGCAAACTGTAGGCACATCGGATTTTAATGGGTGGACGCGGGTTGCAGAATGCGAAAACAAAAGAATGAACTTGAAAGTTCAATGGAGACCCCATAATCTCCCAATTACAAGTCTTGAAAAGCTTTCCAACGAAAAGAGATTCAGAGCCAAATCGATTGCTCTTTTATTGGATGATATACCGGCCGAAGGAAGATATATATTTGTTATTCATCTGTTTGCCCATTTTTCCCGGCATCACTACTATGTTATTCGTGAAAGACTTCGCCACATTACCATGACTCTGCGCCGTGCTTTGGATCGCAATGAGAACTTGTTTGTAGCCGTGAAAGGCCCTCACATGTATTATACAGGTTGGATGCCAGCGGTCAACGATTATACGGGACCGTTTGTAGAAAGAGTGCTAATGAACGAATTCGCAGAATTTCGGAACCGAGTTGCATATTTAGATTTTTGGGATATGTCCAGTGCTTATGGTAATAAGGACATACACCCCACAGATCCTATGCTGTGGAACATGCTACGACTGTTATTTGGCTATACTTGTCCTTAAAAAAATTAAAATCTAACCATGCAATTTTCGTACGCCAACATTTGCAAGTTTTTCAGGATTAATGTAAACGAGCCAACTAAGTCATTCTATTAGTATTTACATGTAGTTTACATTTCAACAATATCTATTTACGGACGATTAACAAAGATCAATAACAAAAATAAATTTAGACCCTCTAGTGGTTAGAAGTTGCATAGCCTACTGAAGATATTCGTCCGCAACCCAGCTCGAGAAACTGAATATTATGTTTAAGGCCCAGCTTCACTGTAGTTTTGTTGGTTTTATTTATTTTTTTCGTGCGTGTGGGGGGGGGGGGGGGTCTGAATTATGCATCAGATCGGCTGTTTTGTTTTATTATTTTAACATATCAAATTAAATGAGATCTAGCGCGCTCTTTGTAGGCCTTGCTTTAATTTTTTTTATCTTCCCTTATAAATCTGGTCTTCATAGTGTTACACAATTTAGTAATGCCATAGCACATTATAGCAAGAAGAGATAACCCCCCCCCCCCCCCCAAGAGTTGGCCTCAAACCGGATTCTGATGATAATATGGGCTAATAGCTGTGTGAACAGTCATAGTATCAGGTTATATATAATATATACTCAGCCAAATTAAAAACTTGACACTCGGGATTTTTGGGACTAGATTTTTAATATTTGGTTTAAGGCAACTATTTTAGTGTTATATTGTGCACAGACGACCTTGACATCAACAGAAAGCAAGAATACGTCTCGCCGAAAGTCCTTGACATTGATAACATTCGTGATGTCACAGTACCCCCCAAAATGAAATTCACAGACTTGGAGAACAATCGGAATAAAGTGTTTAGTAACGGTTGTGGCCTCCTCTAGCGTCTCGTACTGCCACACAACGTCTTCTCACGGATCTCAGAACATTAGTAAACACTACCCGAGGAAGACGTCGCCACTGCTCAGCAAGAGCATGTTGAAGGTCCTGCAACGTCAGTGGTGGATTCACTTGCTGACGAACACGTCGACCCAGTTCGTCCCAAATGTGTTCAATAGGATTAAGGTCGGGGCTAAGCGACGGCCAACCCAGGACTTGGACACCGGCATTTCTTAAAAAATTCTGGATAGCAATTGCTGTATGGGGTCGAGCATTGTCTTGTTGAAACGTTAGTCCAGGCTCATTTCTCTGCATAAACGGAAGAAGAACAGGTTGCAAAATCTGATCCCTGTACTGAACAGCATTGAAGTTCCCTTGGACAACAACAAGAGGAGAACGTCCATGTGCACAAAAAGAACCCCAAACCATGACGCTGCCGCCACCAAATCGGTCAACTTCTCTGACGCATACTTGAGCGTAACGTTCACCTCGTCTGCGGTACACTCGGACCCTGCCATCGGCAAATCTCAAAGTGAATCGAGATTCGTCACTAAAGACAACCGAATTTCACTGTCTTTGAGTAAATCTTATGTGTCTTGTGGCCCACACAAGTCGGTTACGGCGATGAAGAGGTGTCAATATTGGTCCATTATAGGGCCTCCGAGCTCTAAGACCAGCAGCCTGCAAGCGATTTCGAACAGTTTGTGCAGTTACCCTTCCACCAAACATCTCTCTACTTGTGGAGGTTGCAGTGACAAATCTGTTTCTAAGATGACGTAATCGTATTGCTTGATCTTCCTGAAGTGACGTCACACGTGGCGCTCCCGCCCTTGGGCGGTCGGCAATAGTTCCAGTTTGAAGCACTCTCATTCTAAGATTAATTATTGTCTGGCGTGAACAATTAAAGGCTCTTGCAACAGTGACCACAGACTGACCAGCATAGAGCCTACCTATAGCACGTAGACGTTCTACATTTGAAAGGCGTGGCATTTTCTAACAAAGATGAAAATAACAATTTTAATTTGTTTTTCCAGTGTGCGTGTTCAGTTTAAGCAAACTTGCATCGATTGACCCCACGAGTTTGTGTTTGCACGTGTTTTTCAGGTTTTTCATCTTTATATGCTCAAAAGTCACGTGATCCACGTGACTTTACAATTTTATGAAATTAAAGGCTTCTTACTACTTACTATCGTTAGAAACACTTTAAAATTTATTTGACTTACCAGAAAAAAAAATTGGTTGAAATTCATCAGTGACAAGATTTTAATTTGGCTGAGTATACAATGGAGATATTATAGATATTACATGTATTTACTGTAAGAGAGTACTAAATCTTATTTACCAGAACAGATTACTAGGACAGGCAACGATTATTATTAACCATAAGAGATTAGTAGGATAGTCGGTGGTATATTCTTGGAGTGGTGTTGTGATGGCCCGGACGTAATAATTGACCCTTGCTCCTTCCCTACTCACGTCAATGTGTCAAATTTCAGATGCCGCTATTTGCAATACATAATCGATGCTATAACTATAATTCATTTGCCCATAGTACGGAGTATGATGTTCACCTTGAAAAAACGTGGTTCAGCTTGAAAATTATTTTGTTCCTATCAGTTATTTGGAAATGAATCGAAATATTATACAATTTATTTGTGGACACACTACAGGTCACAATTTCTTATCCGATTTTGACGAATCTTGAAATATAGGTTTATCTCAACAAGATCTCGGTTGCTTTCGATATTGGCATGTATCGGATCGAAACTTCATGGATTATGGCCCCTGACTGTACGAAAAATCACGTTTTTAGCTTGTGGACACTATAAAGGTCACAATTTTAATCCTATTTTGATGAAACTTGAAATGTAAGTTTATAACCCAAAAATCTCGGTTCTTTTCGATATTCGCGCATATCGGACCGTAACTTCCTGATATTGGCATGTATCGGATCGAAACTTCATGGATTATGGCCCCTGACTGTACGAAAAATCACGTTTTTAGCTTGTGGACACTATAAAGGTCACAATTTTAAACCTATTTTGATGAAACTTGAAATGTAAGTTTATAACCCAAAGATCTCGGTTCTTTTCGATATTCGCGCATATCGGACCGTAATTTCCTGAATTATGGCCCCTGGTTGTACGAAAAATCGGGTTTTAGCTTGTGGACCCTATAGAGGTCATAATTTTTTATCAGATTTAAAAAAAACGTTTTAGTATATCACCGTTACACCCCAAAGGCTGGTTGAGTTCGATTTTCGTAAAATTCGGACCAAAACTGACAGACAAAATGGCCGTCCCTCGTACTCAAATAGTGTAAAAATATGATATATCAAGGTTGTGGACTCTCTAGAGGTCACAATTGTCTTCTGATTTTGATGAAACTTGAAATGTAAGTTTATAACCCAAAGATCAGGGCCATACGAACAGAAGCTACAGAGAGTGAACTGTCAAGCATACATTATGATTCACTATGACACCGTCCTTGTCAACTTCTCTACTAGAAAACAGGGGAATAAGGGATGGAACATGCTTGCCAGCGTGATACAAAACCCCAGCATTACCGGCGCGAAAGTGTGGCCTAAATTACGGTCAAGACAAAGTTCATCATTGTTGCATAATACGGATGAAATGGGAAGAATCTGACTGTTCTAACGATTGCGAGTATTCCTGTGATTCAAGAGAGGGTGAGTAAGACAAATACTTGAGGTTGGATAAGAGAAATACGTGACCCCCAGTTAGCTTTTAGAAACATTTGCTTTCAATTCACGATGGCCCGATAGTTGGTTGTGTTTGACCGTGCATAATTTGTGTCAATAAACCATAACACATATTTATGGAAGAACAATTGCTGATATATTTAGGCGACGGTTTGAAGAGTATTCTCTCAACGATTTCAAGCAAGTACAGTAAGAAATGTGTAGGTCAATTATATATAGACAAGCAATAACAACAAAATAAGAAACCATGCATGACAACAACTTCTAATACTTGTAAAATACTTGTAATCCATTTATAGTACTAAATTTAATAAGACATGGAATGTGTGTGTCTAAAAGGAGGAAGTGTGTAGGACTATAATTATTTAGGATTCTGTGGGTAGGACTAGTGTGGCTTTCTAATATTCATAATTTATCAATTATATCCCACTTAATTATGGTCATTTATTTAATTATCATTTAGTAAACCAGTTAACTGTTTCTTTTATTTAATCTATGCATAAATGTGTGTGTGTCAATCGGATGGATGAGTGTAGGACTATTATTAATATTTTTACTTAGGAGTATGTGGGTTGTGCTGGTTTGTGTGCATTTTAATACTCATATTTTATAATTCCCTCGTAGTTTATCTGGCGTTACAACTTCTCTGATGTTGAGTATCATGTGTGGTTTCCATTTTTATACGCACAATTTTTATGTGGACGTATATTGTCGTCGCCCCTGTCCGTCTGTCCACAATTGTTTGTGAACAGAACACTCTACAGGTCACAATTTTTATCCGATTTAAATGAAACTTGAAATATAGGTTTATTACCCTAGTTATTACTCTGTTCATATCGATACTGGCATGTAA